AACCAAAAAGTTACACAGTGCACTATCAACTCTAATTACTATTTTATTTTTTTAGACCGAGCTGGAAGCAATCATCACATCTAAGAAGCAACCTACACCTACGAAATAATCATCTTTTATTTTTTTGTTACCATTCATTATCAAATATGAAATCAAATACAGTTTTAGCAACAACTGCACATTGTGGTGTTACAGTAAGATTTAAATACTGTAAACTGGAATACACTTTCAAACCAACAGAAGGTTTGCCAGGGTAAAAGACAAGTCAGTAACAGCTCCCAGCCTTTGCCTCTGTAAATGATAACAGAGAAATTAAGGCATCACGTAGACCCTTGTCTCAACCAGTTAAAATTCCAGAGCAGAATTAAATAAAGATTTATTTGTTGTGTCGTATATTATCCAGTCTAGTGCTTTGATCTCTTGGCTTTATGGCCTTCTGTAGCAGATGCTGGCTTCTTTCGGTTTTTGTTCTTGTTTTTCACATTGTGTGTTTCATAATAGCGCACACCCACTTTCTTATCCTTCTTCGCCCGTTCTATTGCTCTATTTCTGTTGAGACAAAAATATAAAGGGACAAATGAGACAAAAATGTAATATATGTAATATATAAGTCTTCCGGTCATCTGCGCACATTTTTGTTCAACATAATATCTATTTTCTATTTTCCTACCTGTTTTGATGTCAGTCTGGGGGCTTGAGCAGGCTCGTCATCATCTGCTTTCCTCTTCTTGTTATTTCGTGCTGTAATGAGATAATTACACATGCATACATATTATATTATACCACACAGCAATTAATCAGTATTTTGTATTTGTGTCAAATAAAAAAAATAAAAAAAATAAAATATATACGGGTGCCCGCTGTTCTTTCCGGACCTACGTTGAACCAAAACTATACTATGTAAAACTGAAAGGTACATTAGTTATTAGTTTATTCATAAAACTTTAACTTAATTTTGTAATATTTCGAGTGTCATGTGGAGTAAATTCAAGTTCTTGTTTCCACTCGGACAAAAACGTAACACATTAAACGCCGTTTCCATAGTGACGCAAACACTTACTCCCAGCGCGACCGTAACCATCTACTGACAAGTTTACATCCCGTTACATTTTTAAACAATTAACCCTGGAGAACCCAAGACCCCTTTTCTTCTTTGGAAAATTATGAACTATACATTACCTATGTTGTTATAATGCTGTTCAAAAGAATATCTATAGTTGTGCATTGTTTCATTCACACGTTTAGCTTTTACCTTTTGTTTAATGGTTTAAACAATATCTTAAATTATGCAAAATTATTCATATGATTCTAGTGAAGGTGTATGGAGTTTAAAAACACAGTTGACCACTTCCTGTATTACCACATGACATCATAAACCTTTAAAGTATAGTTATCATAAAGAAATTATAATATAACTTCATCCAAAAATACCACATAACTACAGTGAAATAGCACTTTAAAACTGTCTTTGCATAAAATCATATTCTCTTCTTGACAGTACATGAGTGGCTGTGTGAGGAATAAGTGTGGAGGCAGCTCACCTTATCCCACAGTACATCAGATCATCCCTGCAGGCCACAGCAAACAGAATATCCAAGGTGAACTCATGGGACAGGAGCTAGAATAAACACGACTGTGATTTAGCAAGACATTGGCTTAGCCATTGATGCATTCATTTGTAAGACCTACCTTGTCAATGGTGTCTTTATCTACAGGGACAGACTTGAGCCAGCGTGCCATAGCCCTAGCCTCAGGAGTAGAGCTGTTTTGAGGACAGGAAATTTCATCTATAAAAAACAAAAAACATAAAAGGTATTAAAAGAACTGACAGAGTTGTGAAAACCATTATCCCAATATACAAGTCAAGTTTGAGCACATTTGAGCTGACTGGAGCCTGCAGGCAAGGTGTGGCTGGGACTCACTAGCACAAGTTTGGAGAAATGTTACAACCACAAGCTACTATGAGTACTAAAGAAGCAATTGAGACCATGTTACGAACTTGAGTTATGAATCACGTGTGCCTTTTGTTATAGTGTTGAGATAACTGTGCAATGGATTAACTGAAAGGAAATTTAACATAGGGAACATTTCCCAGTATTTCTGAAGGAATAAAAACATGACATTTCATATTTGAATTTCGTATCTCTACTGAACTCAAGGTAAAAGGTAGATTGTTTCTTGAAAAACTACAACGATATGACATCACAAGGTGGACATTGGGACACTGGTGGAGAATTTTGAGCTTTGGAGATGTTGACAGACTAATAATAAAGGATTATTCAAACATGTGTGAATGAAACAAAACACAACTCCCAGTATGTTTTTGAAAAGGCAACATTATAACATGGCTTAAAGGTCACAGGAATCAATGTTATGTAATATAGGACCTTTAATTAGTACACACACAATATAATCAGATCTTGGATTGAACAGTACTATGACTATGTTTACCACGACAGTTTATAATGTACATATTGTTACCAGTGCTGGTGTTTCTTGAGTTCTTGAGTGCATCTATCTGCTGCTGTTTCCTCTGGAGGGACTTTCTCAGTAAGTCCTGGTACTCCCTCTCCTTCTCACTCAGCTGCCTCAGCAGTCTGCCACACACAGGAACAGAGCTCACTCAGCACTAAGCACCATCAATATTACTTCATGTTAATCACTAGTTTGTCTCCAAGGGTCTGATAATTTACACTGGAACACTGTCACTTTATAATTAAATTGCACAGTTTAACTTTTCTGGTAGAGAAAACCGCACCGCCAGTTACTTGTCTCCATGGAGATGTTATTGCTTTAGCTCCAATATTCCAAATTATGGCATTAAACTTTTCAATTTCCATGGTGACCCCACGCACAGTAAGAATGCATGTTTTTATGCACTTTGAGCAATAAAAATACCCATAACTGAATAAATGCATCTTATATAAGTTTAATACCATATTTTGAAACATAACGGGCAAAGCAATAGCATCTCCATGGTGTCGGACCCCGAACCTGAAAACTCACACAGTGCAACTTTAAGTGAATGTACTGTACCTGCTTGTCTCTAATCGCAGCTCTCTCAAGGATTCGCTGAGGGGACAGTTTGGGTCTGAAGGAGGGCTTGGGATCTGATTAAATGTTGCTGTGGGCTGGTTGTCAAACTGTAAACGTCCCTGTGGTTCTGGGACATTTACAGGCGTATCCAAATCTGCTGGCTGCTCCTCGGGACTGCAGTCTTCGACCTCAAAGGAAGACTGCAACTGAAGCTTGAGCTCTGCAATAAAGATATACATTTACTGTTATGATGTTGTCCAATATTTGCACCAGTTCACTTCAGAAGAAAAAGTTATTGCATGTGTCATCAATCAAGTCAGTGTTTCCCAAAGTGTGGTACACGTTCCACTGGTGGTATGTCAATTCTTTCAGGTGGTACTTGGATAGCGCTTCAGTTTGTTGATTTACCAAATTTGAAGTTATTTTTAGTAAATTTTTTTTCCACCTTTGGATAATTTATTGTGTAGAAATACCGTGGAGATGACGTAGTCCATTTTTAGACCTGGTTTAGCCCTAGATTAGATGTGGAATAGTCCTGTTATATATTTTAATTTAGTTCTGGTGGTATTCGGAAAGCCACATTTTTACTTTGGTGGTACTTTGGTGTGAAAAGTCGGAGAGTCACTGGCCTAAGTGAACAATCTATGAACATGGTAATAAAATGTATGAAAATAAACACTAAATGTTTACCATGTTAAATGGTATAATATTGACTACCCATTGACTAGGCCATACTTAAACATATGTCATTATATTAAATGTGCAGTCATTTATTAAATTTTAACTTTCATTGTCAGTAATGTTGTTTTACTTAAACATAAAAAAAAAAAATATATATATATATATATATATATATATATTAATATATATAAATCACTGTGTTTTTCTGTATAAATTCTGAAATACTGTATCTAATGGAGTGAGTTGTGTAACACAAACACTAGAAACATACATTATAGAAGTCATATTTTGCCTATTGGCAAAACGTTGGTATCAATTTACTGACAGCCCTATCTTATATGTGTGTATGTGTGTGTGTGTGTGTGTGTGTGTGTGTGTGTGTGTGTGTGTGTGTGTGTGTCTGTGTGTGTGTGTGTGTGTGTGTACACAAACGGATCTGTCTGTCTGTCTGTACTTTATTTAGTTTTTTTGTTGGTTTTGTCACTAATTGGCATTGTAAAACTTCAAATTTCACTGGTACCTGGAAGAAGAACTGTTATGGCATCCTGTACAGCTTGCCTCAGCAGATTATCCAAAGCAAACATCCAATGGGGCTTCACCTGCTGCTGTCTCAAGACTTTCTTCACCTACACATAGAGAAAAATGTGGAAAAAACAATGTTCCTCTCAAATACAGCCAACAGCTTTGACCACAAGGGCTGTGTCTCAATTCTCTTTCCTTGCTTCCTTCTCCTTGATTCCTCTCCTCGATTCTCCATTTTCAGCTGTCAATCAAATGTGTCATAGTAAATGGTGTCCCAAAGAAAACCACAGAAGGAAGGCGTAAACATGAGGGAGGCTTTACAAGGCAGACATCAGATAAAGTAAAATCTTAGTCAAATTTTATTGGTCTCAGTGAGGAGTTTATATCCTCTCTCCTCACTGTGTCTCATCTGTGAGTGGGACTTCCTCACCCATTTCCTGCAGAATCAAGGAGAGGAATCAAGGAGAATGAAGTGAGGAAAGAGAAATGATACACGGCCAAGGAAAATGTGAGCTCTGGCAACTTACTGCATCCTGGAAGCTGAAGAGCACCACCTGCAGGCTGTTCAGGGGTACTTTTTCAGAGAGCAGCCTTTTCCGCAGGTTCAGGAGACTCATGGTCAGCTGTTTCTTGTCTGGGGAGCGGATGTTGTTTCGCAAGCAGATAATGAGTTCTGTAATGTCTTCGTCAGAGAGGCAGGACCCATCCCCATCCTTAGAGAGATGAAGAGATTTATTATTATAAGTTCTGAGCATTGATCATGTGTACTGTAAACACTACAGGGAAAGCAGTCAGCCATGTCATATACTCTGATAATGTTTTGCCAAGTCACATGAAAAAGCTAGACAGAAATAAGGAAGAGAGTCTTGAGTTATTTTTACTCGGTGGAAAAATGTTACCATTTATCTAGTATCATTTTAAAACTTAAAAATAATAACAACATAGACCTTAAGGAAGATGTTAAGATATACATATAAACACACTAGATTTAAAAAGTACTATTTCTGAACACTATCAATAACTTGCACTGCTTAGATATCTGTGGGTTTCTGAATGATGAAAAGTTAGGATTAGGAACATTAGCATAGCAATTATTCAAAGCAATGTTGGGTCCATATAGCAATAAGCTGCAAATTCATACCATAATAAAACAATATTATTCCTTTATATACTGTACTATCTGCAAGATAGCTGCCATAAAAACAGAACAGCTGTTTGGTGCATATTCAGCATATAAAACATTTCAGTTAGCAGTTAAACAATGCTATATAAGAAAAGATCATGGTCACAGCACTGGTCAAACATCCAAAGGCATCATATAACAGGAAGCTGCAATTTTAAAGCACAATTAAACCAATATTATTCTTATATTATACATATATACTGCACTTTTTGTAAATTAACAGCCATAACAGCATACAAAAACATTTCAGTTATCAGTTAAACAATGACATAAGGGAAAATAAAATTATATCACAGTGTGGTGTGTCTGACCTCTGGGCTGGACTCCTGGACGTTGCTGACCACCAGGCTGATGTAGTCGGTCAGGACCCTGTACAGGGTGGCCCTCCTCTCACTGTCCTTCCTCAGCATGAACAGACCCACGCTCTCCCCTGTGGGGCAGGGACTGGTCAGGTCTCCAGGAGACTCATCAGGCATCCTGGTCAACAATGGAAACAAGCAAACACTGGATTTGATTTGGACTTAAAGGTGCATTGTGTAACTTTTCTGGTGGAGGGTCTGTCAAATGCTTTCCTCAGTAGAGATGTTATTGCTTTGACTGGAATGTTGGAATGTCACAGTATGGCATTAAATCTTTTTATTTTTATGGAGACCAATTCAGGACAACTAACAGGTTAGATCTGTGGAGAAGCAACCCTGTTCACAGTCAGAATTCTTGTTTTTCTAGGTATTTTTGAGCTATAAAACCACCTGTAATTGAATAAATGCAAGGTAGAGCTGTTTAATGGGTTCTGGTGTCTTGCTACGAGGCACATGGGCAGGTTGTTCAAGGTCTCCACCAGATTGATCATGGAACTGTAGTCCTGAAAACAAAAGGAGAAGTGTAGGGTGTTGGGTCATTCATCTGAAATTCAACCCCAGATAAAATATGAACACATACTAAACAAGCCCAAGCAAGGATACTCTGTAGGGCATTCACACAAATACATAACATGTATTTAAAGGGCCATATCACACTAGTTTCTGATCTAGGTTATATATAAATATGTTATTTCCTCATCACAAACATAGCTGGAGTTGTGCTTTGTTTCATTCACACATGTGTAACACACAAATCCTGTGCATATCCAGCATATCCTGTTCTTCTCTCAAACAGAAAACACTCTACTGCCTTGTGATGTCACGTGGTTATACAAGAAGCACTCCACTATTTTTTATCCCATACACCTTCACTAGAATCATTTGGATGATGACATTTGTAGATGTAGACAGTAATACACCATGATTACTCAAACATGTGTGACTGAAAGTCCATGTATGTTTTTGAGGTGATGACAACATTATAACATAACTTAAAACTCACAAGAGTCAATTTTGTGTAATATAGGACCTTTAAATAGTCTTGTCTATTTGATAATGAATTCATACAGAAATCAATCACTTTATCATTTATTAGGGGTGGTATGATATGAATCTTTCTTTTGTTTGTTTTTTTAGCTAATATCTCTGAATAACATAATGTATGTATATGTGAGTGTTGTGTATGTTATTCAAAATACAATGATTTTTTTTGTGATGTTTACTTCCTTTGCTGCTCTTTTCAAATGTATCTTGTTGCATGTCAGCACTGCTTCCTGTGTCCAGTCCAGTCCAGTGTGTAATTTAATTCAAAATAATGACTGTAGTGGCAGTTTAACTCCAGTCTGCCACTATAGCTGTGAGGGCTGTGTGGCTTTAGCTTGACTCATGTGTCTAAGATGAAAACTGAAAGATTCAATGTCCAAACTTACAGAATATTGATTATGAGGTTTAATTGTAGATGCAGCTTCCATAACTGAAGAATACACAAAATATCCTGATCACACGGTCAAAAAACTGTATGGCCTCAACCCCCTACAGCTTCCACACAAAGAATAATCAGGCCACAAAGGCCACCTGGCTATGAGCCACTAGGCTCCACCCCTAAGGCTCCACCCCAAACAACTTGAACCAATGTGGGTCAAAAATGGCCGTAACACTCCCGGCCCCTAATTATAATGCAGGAGCACTTATAATTACCAAAACAGAAAATTTACAATTTTCCTTTGCATCTATAAGTTATCAATTTACCAATAACCTTCTTTTCTACTTTCTACTAAATGTTACTCAATTTGCTTTTAGCTATTACATCTAGTTTAATGTTAACTCTATCAATAATATCCCCACAATTACAAGTCATTATTTCAATCAAAAATTATTGTTTCAAAAGATGTTAAATCATTGTCTCTTTAGCTGTCACTGTTTAATTTTCTTCCACTTTCTCTCGTATGCCGGCATTTCCATTTCCTATTGTAAATCCAGTTAGTCCAAGGTAACTTCATAAGTTGCCTTTCCACAATTCCTGAAGAGACAGGTCTGATAGGTCTCGTTGTTTGTCCATAGTTCTCATTCTATCAAATGAATCGCTGGTATTCCCGGCCCCATTTGGGGTAGTCATAACATAACTTGAGTATACTGCTGCACTAGGAATCAAATCAGGTTCTTGGTTTCTTCCAGAACTTTCCCGTTTGGGGTGATTTTGTGATTTATAGATGTGGAGAACTTTTGGATGTTCTCTGGCGCATGTAGAACAGGAAAGCTTGTTTCTGCAGTTTTGGGCAAGATGTCCTTTATTCAAGCAACTAAAACACAGGCCTGCTTTTCTTAGTATTCTAAGTTTTTCTGGGTGGCGTCTAGAAGCAAACTGGAAGCACTCTGAAAAGGTATGAGCCTTTTCACAATAGAAGCATGGCTTGATAAAGGCACTCCTTCGTCTACCCTTCAGGATGTTCTTGTTTCTCTCAAATTTAACTGACCCCTTTTCAACATTTCTTGAAGCTGCGAACTGAAGATTTCCAAACACTGGGTCATTGAGAATTCTTGCTTCACGGGTGACAAAAGAAATCAGATCGACAAATTTTGCCATTGCACCTGTATTATTTAAAACGTCAAATGCATATTCTCTCCACTTCTCTCTGGTCTTAAATGGGAACTTTGAGATGACAATTTTCAGGTTGGTTGTACTGTCCATTTTCATCCAAGTAATCCACTTCCTTCATGATATTATAGTAGCTCATCAGAAAAATGGAAAAGCTATTGAAAGCTTTAGGATCCTCTGATTGTATCTGAGGCCATTCAAACAACTTGTCCATCAGAGCAGTGGCTATTCTGACTGGATGTCCATAGAAGTCCTCCAGTAAGCGCATAGCTTCAGCATATCCTTGAGATGATGGCATATGCTGGCAGCTTTTAATCAACATCTGAGGTTCACCTCTTGTATATTTCTCCAAATAGTATAGCATAGCATATCTGAATTATTGTCTGTTCTTGAGCCAATTACATGATTAAATGCTTTCACAAAAGACTTGAACTCAAGAGGGTCTCCAGTAAAAACAGGAATATCAAGTTTGGGAAGTTGCACCCATATTCAGTTGTTTCACAAGCATCTCTGTGATGTCCATCTGTCGCTTTAATAACTCCAAAATTTCCCTATGGAAGTTCGGCTCCACTTGTACAATGCCGACAGGCTTGGTGAACATTGGGAATTTGTCCACACTATTTGCATCTTCCACAGTAAAGTTCAACATATCTTCATCAATTTCTTTATCCAAATCAGCAATATCATAGTCTTCATCAAAGTCTTTCATTTGATGTTCTTCTTCCAGGTTATGGATATATTTTACCTCTTTTGTCTGTCCTGTTGTCTTTGGCACCATCTTTTGTCCATCTTCTGTAACTGTAGTAGCTCCACATGGTTCCTCTTCAGTTGGTGGTGTGGGGCATTTGAACAAAGAACCCAACAAATCACATCCAATTAAGCACAGTGCAAGACACTGGCTTTTCCACACATCAAAATGCATGTGCATCTTGGTCCAAAAGTTGATCTTTGGTTTCAACTGGAATGTGCAGTATATATTCCAAACAAAGACAACAACAATAATCCATCCAGTGTCCATCTTGTTTGGTTAGTCCACAATTTCTTCAGAGTCCAAAAAGCAGCCAAGTTTTTTGACTTAATGTAGTGGCAGTTTAACTCCAGTCTGCCACTATAGCTGTGAGGGCTGTGTGGCTTTAGCTTGACTCATGTGTCTAAGATGAAAACTGAAAGATTCAATGTCCAAACTTACAGAATATTGATTATGAGGTTTAATTGTAGATGCAGCTTCCATAACTGAAGAATACACAAAATATCCTGATCACACGGTCAAAAAACTGTATGGCCTCAACCCCCTACAGCTTCCACACAAAGAATAATCAGGCCACAAAGGCCACCTGGCTATGAGCCACTAGGCTCCACCCCTAAGGCTCCACCCCAAACAACTTGAACCAATGTGGGTCAAAAATGGCCGTAACAATGACTTTATCTGCATCTCTATTTCCATGCACTACTCTCACCAATTACACATACAGAGGAAATTTACCCTAAGACATCAAATTACATTAAATAAGACACACCAAAACGAGACGGCTTAGTTTTTACTTGCGCAAGGAGAGAGCTGTCCGAACACTGTCTGACCCTCTTCTGACAGCTACTCCCCAACAGCAGGTTTTAGGGCGGCAGTAGCTCAGTTGGTAGAGCATTCGCCCACTGACCCACAGGTTGGCTGGTGTGATTCCAGCTCCCACAGATGAATGCTGCCGTTGTGTCCTTGGGCAAGACACTTAACCCACCTTGCCCACAGTGTCTGCGTACACTGGTGTATGAATGTGTGTGTGAATGGGTGAGTGGTTCCTTGTTGTAAAGCGCTTTGAGTGCCTTCAAGGTGGAAAAGTGTGACCATTTATTGCAGTCATTTCACAGATAACAATACAGTACATTATGTTATATCACGCAATGGTTACAATGATCACATACTAACAATCTTTAGGCTAAACCAGCCCCCCATTTCACACTTGCTTACACGCTCCAGGTGATAAACAATTTGGTCAGTTTTCTCCCAAAAACTTATGCTAACCACATGAGGGAAAAAAACCCTTAGCTGTCTTCTCATTAAGCTAATCTACTGAGTCACCCATGAGTCAGGAGTTCTTGTACTAGGACATATGATATACATATGGAAAAACCCTAAAACGCAATTGTTGATAACTTTAATCACACACACAAATGATTATGATTTTAAATGATTCATAATATTTAAAATAACACAGAAATTCTTTCACAGTTGGCTATACCTTTCTTGGAAGTGAGCTTTTTTCAAAGTTTTATAGTACACTTTTTACCTACAACCACTTCAAATACAAAATAAAAGCTGTGCAACACTACTTAAAAGGTGCATTGTGCAACTTTTCAAGTTGCACTTCTCTAGAAATACTATTGCTTTGTCTAGAATTCTCCACAGTACAGATTACATCTATCTATAATGACTAATAATAACTAATAATAACTAAAACAGAAGTGACTGACAGTATCACTGTTTTCATCCAATTCTCTGATTCATGGTGAATTTTCAAGAGTTACAAAAAAGCAAACAGATGGCAGAGATTTAGGAAATATAAGGAAACAACTGCATGACACTATCCCAGACAGTTGTTTTTGTGTAATGATGAAATATCGCAGTGGCAGAAAGAAGTAAGTGGGCGGGGCTAGAAGTTCAAACTAAATCAAATTCCTGACTCCTGATTTGGAAATTACCGGTAGGTACAGGCCCTTAAAGAAATCAAAGATTGTAGTATGTTCTTTTATTACTTATCTCTGTATGTTTTTATATGTTTAAGGTCACTGATTATTACTGTATAGGGTTAACTGCCTCCTGGGCACGTCCCACTAGGAGGAGACCCCAGGGAAGACCCAGGACACGCTGGAGGGACTATGTCTCTCGGCTGGCCTGGGAATGCCTTTGGGGCCCCCCCGGAGGAACTGGAGGACGTGTCTGGGGTGAAGGAAGTCTGGGAGTCCCTGCTTAGACTGCTGCCCTCGCAACCCAGCCCCGGATAAGTGGAAGAAAATGGATGGATTGGTCAATTAGGTACAAAGGGATAAATTACAATTTCAGTCATGTTATTTAGTTAAACACAGAGAAGATACATACATTCCATTAAAACCAAGTAATTCACCAGTTTAAAAAATCATGTATGGATTTATAACAACAAAAATACTGTTTACAGCAAGTCGTGGCGACTTGCTGTAAATAAGTCTCCCCTCACCTGGATGTCTCTGTAGGACAGCAGCAGGTTCATGACGATATCAGGTGTAAGCAGGTCCACACTGTCCAGACGAGCCTCGATCCTCTTCAGCTCCTCGCTCAGGGCCTGTCCTCGTAATCGCTCCCTGGCCATCCGGATGTCATGTCGGATGGACTCCCGGAAGTACTCACTGCAAAACCACAAAAGAGACATTTTAAACCATAGAAGAAATGATGTTCTCCCCCGGAGGAGTTGGAGGACGTGTCTGGGGTGAGGAAATCTGCGAGTCCCTGCTCAGACTGCTGCCCCCGCGACCCGGCCCCGGATAAGCGGAAGAAAATGTATGGAAGGAAGAAATTATGTGTTATGATACCGTAATGATTGATCAGCATAATAGTGACTATGCTGCTGTTAAAATTTTGATAATCATTATTTGGGCTATACACAGTATAAAATACATGCTGAAAGGCCTTTTATAACAGACATAGGCCTGTCAAGATAACAAATTTAAAGCATGAAATATTCCAATAAACACTAATATTGAAAATACCACTGTCACAAATAGGAATGGGCATGATTAGTCGACTAATCAATAATTGATCATTAAGAATTTCGTTGATTACGCTTCATTTCTAATCGACAAACCGAATGTAGGTTTCTGGGAGTAGATATAAAGCTGCGACTGACAGCGCAAACACTAGAGTTGTAGCCTCTCAGTCCTACGTTTGGGCTCTGGCACGTCCTTGGAGATCACTGTACCACTCAATGAGTGTGTTGCACATCAGTATCCCAGGTTTGTCATGGTGCATGTATATATTCATGCATCAACATCCCTCTGTCACAGAAAAGTCCGACAAAAGCTGAACTGCATCAGCGCACAAGAGCATTTTTTTTTTTTTTTCCCTTTCCGATTAATTAAATTTCATCGAATGCCCATCCCTAGTCACAAAGCAGGATAATCACCAGTAAACCCATTTTTTAACATACTGAATCATTAAAAAGGCCTGAGGTGTAAAAATAAATAGCAGAATGAATCGAGAATTAACCATAGCAGTTATTCATTCTACTTTCATAACAAATATAGTAATTACTGTGAATGACATTATGTCACACACATCTGTCCTGAAGGAAATAATCTATGGCTGCTGCTAGTAATGACTCGGAATATCCTTTGCAGCAGATGCAGCAGAAGGTCAACTCAATCTGAAGCTCTGTGACTGAAATTAAACTTTAATCTCATCTTTATTTTAACACAATCTGACCAGAAAGAAGTGGCTTAGTTGGAACTACAACAGGGAAGATGATTTGTGCTGTTAAACAAGTCTCTCACACACACACAAAAAAAAATCACAGTCACAAGCCAGCAACAAATTTTCAATTAGTCACTCTCACCTTTTTTTTGTTGAAAATCAAACACCTAAACAGGGCCATGAACGCTAGTAATAATAACAAGCTCCTGAAAATGCATTGTTAAAATTCTTTTTTTTTTTTTTTTTTAAGCTTTAGCCCATCTTCAGACTTTTTTGGCAGTGTTTTTTCTAATGTGTGCATTGTGTCTCCAGGGTAACTATATGTGGAACATCCATGGATCTATAATAAGAACGCCAATAAGCACAGGCCATTGAAAACAATCCAGATCTTATTATAGATCTTATTATACTTCCACGAGAACACCTCCAGTATTTTGTCAATGCAAAGTATAGGATAACTAGATCTTCAAAATTAAAAACTAGGACACATCTAGGTTGGGATGTTAGTATAAATAAAATTGTGAAAAGAGCGAGTAACATTGTCCATTTTTGACTCACTCGTGGGTCAGTATAAAATCTGAGGGACTTTTGTTGGTGCATTTTTCGCTTTATGGTCATTTTCAAGCAGTTTTCTGTATTTTAGCTAAACAAATGACAATATATTCCCCTTTTTACTGTTGACGGGTATCAAATTGGTCAAAAACAGGGACATTTTTTGTATAAAACTGAGACAAATCACTTGTTTTGGATAAATCTGCTAGGACACGGGACACAGAGCTCAAAACTGGGACTATCCAGGGTAAATAGGGACATCTGGTCACCCTGGCAAAGTATCAATTTCTACCTGGACTGGACTTGCACAGTGTTGAGCAGGTGGACCAGTCTCTCTACCAGAGGAGTGAGGAGAGGCTCCAGTTGGAAAGTGGGCTGCATGAGCTCTTGGATTCCCGTCATGATGGTGGCATCACAGACAAACACTTTTCCCTGAGGTGATACTACATACGGGATGAAGGTGTAACTGCTGCACTGCTCCTACAAAACAGGAAACACATGGAAAAGTACCACATTGACAACAGCCCTTTATAAAATGCTTTCAATAATATTCAGCAAAGCAGCTGTATGCCTCAGTGCAGTGGGGCATGTTGTATGAAAGAAAATTGAACACTTGAAGGGCCCATATCACACTATTTATCCATGTTATAATGTCGTTTCCTCATCAAAAAGATACCTGGAGTTGTGTTTTGTTTTATTCACACATGTTTAACACACACAAATCCTGCATATTTAGGCTGACTTCATCCCTTAAGGTGAAAACACTTGTGACATCACCTTGGGATGTTATGTGGTAATACAGGAAGTGCTCTACTGTGTTTTCAAACTCCACACACCTTCACTAGAATCATTTGGATGATTTCATACCTGTAATTGTCAATCTCTACTGAACTAAAAGGTAAATGGTAGCTATTAACTTGAAAATTACAGCTTCGTGATATCACAAGGTGGAACAGAACATTTTGAGTTTTGGAGATATAGACAGAGTAATAATAATGGTTACTTAAACATGTGTAAATGTGTAACAAAACACAACTCCAGATATGTTTTTGAGGTGGTAACAACATTTGAACATGGCTTAAAGCTCACAGAAGTGAATTTAACAGAATATAGGACCTTTAATTTTGTCCCATTTTATCTTTCACATCTTCAGAGAACTTGTCTTATCTAAAATAAACAAGCCTAATGTACCTCAAGGCAGAGTTTGATTTAAAAAAAAAAAAAAAAAAAAAAAAGGGTGCCAGGACCATTGAGTTGCGGGTGAAGGGCAGCTGCTACTTACCATTACTGTGACCACTTCAGTAAAGCAACTGTAGACAAGGCTGTGCACTAATCCTGTAGGCTACAGGCAGGCTAACCAATATCCTTATTTAGCTTGTTGCTTGTAAACCCCATTAGTCTAGTCACTGGCCAGACTACTCATTGAGATTATTGATGGATAAATCTTAAAGTGCCTAGAGTACTTTATCTTTTCACCTACGTTATAATTTTAGTTTCTTTATCAGAAATTTTCGTGAAATTGTGTTTTGTTTCATTCACATGTTTAACTCACAACGCCAGCCTGTTTTGGCTGTTATTCTCTCAAACTGAAAACATCCTGTTCCACCATGTGATGTCATGTGGTAATAAAGGAAGTGCTCCATTGTGTTTTTAAACTCCATCCACCTTCAGTAGAATCATTTGGATAATTTCAGCCATGGAATTGCCTGTCTCTGCTGAACTAAATACAGAAGGTAGCTGTTAACTTGAAAACTACATTTTAGAGTTTTTGATGAAGTAACATTACAGCATGGCTTAACACTCACAACAGCTATCATCATCATTTCATGTAATAGAGGACTTTTAAATTCATTAAGTCCAAGTGAAAAAATGCCAAGCTCAAGATAAAACGGAAACCCATCCCAAGACTTGAAATGAAGGAGCACACAGTCAACAGCCTTTATCCTGGGCTGTACCTTAACCGCGTGCAGGTCACTGTCCTGCTTGCACTGTTGGGCAAGTTACTTTGAAACTGTAATGCGTTATTTATTACCTATTACTGTCATTTCAAAGTAATTCGTTACATTACAATATTACTGCATTTAAAATGTAAGGCATTACATTACTATTGCATTACTTTAAGTTACTCTCACCAAAATAACTTTTGCGCTGTATATGGACTGAACCAGGACTAAACCAGGTCTAAACCAGGACTAAACCAGAGCTGAACCAGGACTAAACCAGAAGTGAACTAGGACTAAACTAGAACTGAACTAGGACTAAAACAGGACTCACTGTAGGGACTGGCTCGAAGGTGACCGCAGGAGAAAGGAGCGGCTCTGCTCCGCACCTCACGGAGGTAAGAGCGGCTGTCACCCGATCGCGCTTTATGGACCCTGCTGCTCGGGCTCACGGTCCTGATTTCACCAACTATTTGCAGGTACCCGAGCCGGTGCAAGACTCTGTTACAGCGCGTAACTTCTACCTTCCTTCATCGTGTCCAGAAGTCCAACTTTTTGTGTGATGGGTTGCATCTTCCTCTGTCTTTTGGGTGCAAGTGCAGGAGCCTTTGTCAGTGCAGAACGTTTCGTCGACGTTGTGGGTTTCGTCGGGGAGAAAACTTGCAACCGTACAGCACTTCAGAATCACACTGATACAGATTGAACATGTATTTAAATTTGGCAGCTGAACACATTCTGTACTGTACTGTACAGGAGACAGGAGTCCCTTGGCCAGTCAGGACGCAGCGGGAGGGACGCAATACGCATTCATATAATGTAAAAAAAAAAGCAGGGCATGCAAAATTGCACAAAAAAAAAAAAAAAAAAAAAAAAATCTGCGACACAGCGAAATGTGAACTGCGATAGAGGGAGGGACGAGTGTAAACCAGGTCTAAACCAGAACTGACCCAGGTCTAAACCAGGTCTAAACCAAAACTGACCCAGGTCTAAACCAGGTCTAAACCAAAACTGACCCAGGTCTAAACCAGGTCTAAACCAAAATTGAAACCAGGTCTAAACCAAAACTGACCCAGGTCTAAACAGCGTGGAGTTCTTTGTCAGTCCTTTCGCCCGCGGTTACCTGAAGGTCTATGAGGGCGCATCTCCGGCGTTTCACCGCTGCTGATATCGAGGTGATTTTAGCGAATTTGTATGAAGAAAAACCCACCACTTCAATCCAGGTTAAAAAAAAACACTGTAACGCGCGTTACTCACATTTGTACCGAGTAAAATATTACTATTTTTTCCCCTGTAATGCCTTACATTACTGCGTTACAGCAAAAAGTAATGCATTACTGTAATTCGTTACTTTTATAACGCGTTACTCCCAACACTGCCTGCTTGTAACAGTAGAGGATGATGTTGTTGGTCATGCTGAAGCTCTCTCTCACTCCCAGGTGGTAGAAGAGAGAAGGCTGACAGAACGTGTCACTCATCTCCACCACTGCTACATCTGTGTGAGAAAAAGACATGCAAAACGCGGTTGAGGCTGGGAGACGGGCGTAGTCTACTACCCCCGGTCCTGTCCGCATGCCCGTACTTGCCTGAGTTGTAAAAACTATCCAGAATGTCAGTTGTCCCGAGAGAGATCCGTTCGAACGAGATGGTATTGAAGAGCGCGTTTGCGTCTGCACACGCTTCTTTCACGCATTTCTGTGACAGGTTCTCCTCAGTTTGTGGCACCGATGCGTCTTCGTTGACGATATAGGCCACGGACACGGGTCTAGTCCGACTCCGCGGAGAGATGAGCTGTTTACCGTTGGAGCCGATTTCCAGCGCCAAAGAGTCCTGCCACAAACTTCCAGCGGTAGTGGAAACCCAAACCGGGTCCTTCCTCTTGTTGTGGTCCCGCAGGCTCATGCGCCTCCGCTCCGTAGTGTACATCCTGAAAGCTTTTAAACTTAATGCATGTCTCCAAGAAAAGTTGAGTTATGAGTTGCTGTAATGTTCCAGGTGTGTCACCGCCTCCTGTCGCAGCGTATCCCGTCAGAGAGCGCTGTCCTCGGGCCCGCCCGCCCTGCTGCTCCCGGTGCACACCCCGCCTCCTGACACTCACTGAAACACGAGAGGACCAGAGCGACCTCTGCAGTAGATCATGCTTCCCGCTATTTGAGAAGTATACACAATATTTGAGTCCGGTCATTAGGTCTAGGCGTATATTATCCCATCTCAACCAATGAAAAAAAAGGTCACATATTACTGCAAACTGACGCTTGAGAGCTTTAAGTCATTTTAGAAATATTGTTACTTCCTCAAAAACATAATACCTGGAGCTGCATTTTATTCACACGTTTAGTATTAATCTGTCTACATCCCCAAAGTTGAAAATGTAATGGGAGTTTAAAACAGAGAGAGGAACTCAGCCTATACATACATATTGTTGAGTTGTGGGAATGAAATAAAACAGAACTCCAGGTATGTTTTTGATGAGGAAACATTATAACAGAGATCAGACAATAGCATATGCGCCTTTTAAGACACCTGATTTAGATTTAATTCTCCTCACAGACAACATAATCACTATTTTCGTCTATTTTAATTGACTGAAATTAGAGAGTAACTGTGTGCTGACTGAACACTTCTGCAGATCAGCCACACTTACAGACAGTAGGTCACGTATACTGTAACTGTATCCATGACTGTAACTAGGAATTCATCAATAACAAACCTCAAGAAATTAAAATGTTCCACTGGTTTATTTATAGTACAAAAAATCTGATTTACAATGCCCAAGTGGACCAAAATAAAAGAGGAAGTCTTAAATACTCACTCCACTGTGAAGGGACAGATCCAACAACTTTGACATTACAATGCAAAAAAAGCAACATTTGTTATGTAAAGTGTGACAGTAAGGGTTACAGTCCATATGTACAAATGAGAATGAACAGTAATTATTTCCAGTCTGTTGTACAGCAGTGCCAAGGTCCAAAAATATACACTTTGATTTATGTGGCACCAAATGTAATCTACTGTGACTACTCAGACTACACAACCTGAGAAGTAGAAGTCTTCTTTGAGACAACTGTGGCAGGTTAGGCTATTATAGAACATACTAACCAGCCATTATGTAATCCCACATTCAGTGAGAAAGTTCAGAGTATCACTCATTTGGTTCTTGGGCTGCCTCATCAACCCCCTCGTCTTCATCCTCCTCCTCGCGCTGCTGAGCGTCCACTTCGCTGGTGTCGGAGAACTCGTGCAGCAGGACGTACTCTCTGCTGCTGAAGCCAAACTTGAGTACGTCTTTCTCTTTGAGCTCGTAGTAGCGCTGGGGCTCGATGCGCTGATTGTTCAGGTACGTACCGTTGCCAGAGCCCAAGTCAATGATGTAAGGTCTCACCCTGCGCCCATGCGTGCCATCTGCCCGAGTGTACTCCACCAGTCTGTGGAATACAATGAAGAAGATTAAACGTTAACACACTGAGGTGTGGTTTAATATACACTTTGTAAAAATGTGTTCATTGAATGTTACAAGAATATTCGACAGGAGATGCCTTCCCAAATTTAACATCTGCAAATTTGTATTTGGAAATAAACTCTCCAAAAAATGTTCTCACCTATACTGAAAAACTGCATGCTGCTTTGAGCAGGATGGGTGGTCAATAGGAATATCAGCTATTCTTCTCATTCGTCCCATCAGATAGGCACTCTGTCTGTGAATGTACATGACCGGGAGGGGCTCATCATTCTTAAATGGGTACAGCCTCCATCTCCTCTTGGGAATACGAGCTTCTGGTGGTTCATTATATTTGATGACCACTCCTCTGAATGTGTTTGTGTCTTCTGTGAGAGCTCCAGACAGCTCAAAGTTTGGCTTCTCTTTGTCAGCAGGAGGCGCTGAGCTCTCATTGCTTTCCTCAGTTTGTCCAAACTCATGTTCTTGGTTTTCCTCACGTCTTTGACGATGTTCCCTCCGCCGCTCGTCATGCTGTTGCCGCTCGGCTTGCTGAGAGGCAAATGCATCTCTGTCCCCCCTCCTCTCTCTGCCACGGTTTCGGTCACTTGACCTCTCTCTGTCTCGTGACCTGTCTCCGTCCCTTCCTCTTTCACGAGACCTGTCTGTTTCCCATTTGCTCCTTCTTTCCTCCACAGGGTCATTTCTTCTCCTCCTCTCATCACCACTCCGGTGTACATCTCGTTCCTAATGAAAACAGCAATTTACATCATATGTAGGGTTACTGATAATAGAATGCTACTTCCACACTAGGGAGTGTGAGGTGTTTAAGCATTAGATGTATCGAGTTTGCATATCAAACAGTCTGGCTAATTGACATAATAATTCACATTTACAGATTATGTATCTAGATAACAATAATATCAGCAACAATAGCAAGAGTGTTAGGAATATTTTAAATGCCCATTCATTTTGCAAGATGGTCAGCTTTATCTTCACCTAAACACTGGAGTTATGGGAAAAACACATAGCTTCATGACGTGCATAAAACGTATGTATATTATAAAGTATGCATAATTTAAACGTGAAAGTGACTGACGCGTTTGATCGTGAGCTCGGCACCGCGGTGTGGACTGCGGCTTCTTCTGTGTCTGGGAGACCTGCTGCGAGCGGCGGGAGAAGCTTGGCGTCTCTCCTTCGTCCTCACAGGCGATCTAAAGAACACAAGTGAGTAACTCGAATAAACACATCACTTCTCTAATGTTGATGCAATCACCTGCTGGTTCTTCTCCTCGGTGGACTGGCGCTGCCGCTGGACCTGGAGCGGGAGCGGCGTGTTCTCTGTGGCCTAACAGGACTCACTCTTTCCTGCTTTATTCTGACTTTAGTTTCCCGCTCAGGAGACTCCCTCCTCTTGTGTCGCTTTTCTTTGCTCATTGTTAAAGATTCGGTCGACATAAATTAAACATTCATTGCCCCAAAAAAGAAAGAAACTCTTCTCAGAATAACAAAACAAAATCGTATCAAACTTCCACTGTTGCTCAGATCACGTGTTTCCTGTGGTACGCAAATAATGTCATCCGGTGTGGTATACGGGTGCCCGCTGTTCTTTCCGGACCTACGTTGAACCAAAACTATACTATGTAAAACTGGAAGGTAAATTAGTTATTAGTTTATTCATAAAACTTTAACTTAATATTGTAATATTTCGAGTGTCATGTGGAGTAAATTCAATTAAATAAAACTGATTGTGCAAGACTGCTTTGCCATCTAATTACACAAATGGCTTGTTATTGTTGGCATTTGTGTATTTAAGATTTATTCAATGCAGACATCTTCTTTTTTTTTTTTTTTTTTTTTTTTTTTTACAATTGCGTTCTTGTTTCCACTCGGACTAAAACGTAACACATTAAACGCCGTTTCCATAGTGACGCAAACACCTACTCCCAGCGCGGCCGTAACCATCTACTGACAAGTTTACATCCCGTTACATTTTTAAACAATTTATTTAGCATCTACAGTAAATACTTTTTATGTTCCCACCATGATCCCACCGGCAGACTCGCTGCTTAAGTATGACAACCCGGTGCTCATGAGCCAAAGCCCAAGACTCAAGTCTCCAAAGGTGAGTTGTAAACAAGTTGCGAACGTTGTGTATGTGTGTGTATGTATAACACAACAAAAGGCAATCCTGAACTAAACACAAAGTATCAGGTCACTGCAAAATATATCTAAATATACTATAGCCTGGGCTAAAAAAAAATTGTGTTTAACTACACAGCTCTGTATCAAATAGTTACCTATTTTTCTATCAATTTCTCTTCCAGGGTCGCAACTTTAAAGTCAGTCCCCAGCAGTCTCCAGACACCACCCCTGTGCCTCCTCCCCCCAAACCAAAACCAGAGACTGAACAACACAATGAAGACATCCTCAGTTCCATACTTCCTCCCAGGTGGGACATTTTCTAACAAGAACCACTGATTTTTTTTTTTTTTTGCTGAATTATTATTTCTTCCACAGAGAATGGATGGAGGGGAATCAATTATGGGTGCAGAAAGTGTCCAGTGCCTCTTCTACAAGATCAGATGTGATTATACTAACTGAACAACTGGACACAAAGTTACAACAGAAACAGGCCAGACTCACAGGCATCTGCCCAGTGCGCAGGGAACTCTACTCACAGTGCTTTGGTGAGAAAGATTTTTTTTTAAATTATTATTATTATTAAAGGTGCACTATGAAACTATTTGGTTGGGGTCTATCGCCTGCTTGTTTCTATGGATATGTCATTGCTCTACCTGAAATGTTCCACAGTATGCCATTAAACAGATCTACAATTTATTAAATTGTAAGTAGTTTTATAGCTCAAATATCTTGAAAAAACAGGCATTCTGGCTGTGAGCGGGGTTGCTGTTCCAAAGATCTGATCTGTAACTTGGTCTAGTTTGGTCTCCCATTAAGATAAAAAGGTTTAATACCATACTGTGAAACATTCCAGATGAAGAAATGCCATCTCCATTGAGAAAATCATTCCAATAGAAAAGTTACACAATGGAGCTTTGAAATGTTCAACCTTCAGTAAATTATATTACAGATTGGGTTCACACATTAATCTTGTGGCCTTTACAACTGACAACAATGGCATATAGTATTGAGACAAATCGAAATTGAGTTTTTTGTATCATATGTATTTTTGTATCGTAATAACACTAATACAAATGAATGCAATTTGTGTCTGTTCAGATGAGCTGATCAGACAAGTGACCATAAACTGTGCAGAGAGAGGTCAGCTGCTATTAAGAGTGAGAGATGAAATAAAGACAACCATTGCAGCATATCAGACAATCTACGAGAGCAGTGTGGCATTTGGGATGAGGAAGGCCTTGCAGTCAGAACTTGGCAAGTCTGACAGGGAGAAAAAGGTAAATTACATAATTTACACTATTGTTGTTCATTGTTATATTTACAACCAAACCGATTACACAATATGGACTCTTATGAGCTTTAAGATATGTTAGAATGTTGTTACCTCATTAGAAACACACCTAGACCCCTGTGTTTTATTTCATTCACACATGTTTAAGTAATCCTGGATTATTCTACTATTCTTCTGTTTACATCTTCAAAGCTCAAAATTGTAAAAGGTAGCTGTTAACTTGAAAACTGACGCTTCATCACGTTTGGCTTAGCAGAGATCGGAAATTCCAGAGCTGAAATTATCTAAATGGATTCTAGTGAAGGTATACGGAGTTTAAAAACACAGTGGAGCACATCCTGTATTACAATATCAGATCATAAGGTGGAACAGAGCATTTACAGTTTGAGAGAAGATTTCAGCCTAAATATGTAGTTTGTGTGTTAACCATGACTCCAGGTATGTTTTTGATGAGGAAACAGCATTATAACAGACCAGGAAATAACATAATATGGGCCCTTTAAACTGCATCGGGTCGATCGATGTCAAAAGTCAAAGGTATTGTAATTGACTATAATAATTCCTTTTTTTTTTTTTTTTTTTTTACAAAATATCAAAATATGCTTGGTAAGCAACTAATTGTAGTGCCAAATTATTATCTTTTTTTTTTTAAGTTTGTTTTTACATGTTTTTGTAAACTAGTTTACTATTCACTTTGATTTAGTTACTGAAACAAACAAGGCCATTGGCCAATATTCAGCATCAGAAAAATCAGACTAGACATCTTACCCTAACAACAATCTAATCCTACAAAGTTTCCAGCAGATGGCACTGTTTGTCTTTTAATATTCAGTCATACTTTTCCACTGTCCCATACCACATTATTGTCTGACAGATTGCAACACTGGAGAGTGAGAAGCAGGATCTAATCAAGCAGCTACAGGAGGAGAAGGCCAAATGTGATGCCATAGAAAAAAGAGAAGCCGAGAGGAGACAGGTAGAGGAGAAGAAGCACTCAGCAGAGATCCAAGTTCTGAAGAACTCCAACCAACACCTCAAGGTAACTCCAAATCTCTCTGGTTTGAAAGGTGAATTTTGTAACTTTTCTGGTGTAGGGTCTATGAAATGTTTTTCTCCACTGAGATGTTATTGCTTTATCTGGAATGTTTCACAGTATGGCATTAAACCTTTCTATCTTCATGGAGACTGATCCGATCTGTGGAGAGGCAACGTCGCTCAAAGTTCGAATGCCTGTTTTTCTGGATATTTTTGAACTATAAAACCACCTATAAATGAATAAATGGAAGGTAGAGCTGTTTAATGCCATACTGTGGAACATCCCAGGCAGAGCAGTAACATCTCCATAGAAACAAGTAGATGACAAACCCCCAACCAAAAAGTTACACAGTGCACTATCAACTCTAATTACTATTTTATTTTTTTAGACCGAGCTGGAAGCAATCATCACATCTAAGAAGCAACCTACACCTACGAAATAATCATCTTTTATTTTTTTGTTACCATTCATTATCAAATATGAAATCAAATACAGTTTTAGCAACAACTGCACATTATGGTGTTACAGTAAGATTTAAATACTGTAAACTGGAATACACTTTCAAACCAGCAGAAGGTTTGCCAGGGTAAAAGACAAGTCAATAACAGCTCCCAGCCTTTGCCTCTGTAAATGATAACAGAGAAATTAAGGCATCATGTAGACCCTTGTCTCAACCAGTTAAAATTCCAGAGCAGAATTAAATAAAGATTTATTAGTTGTGTCGTATATTATCCAGTCTAGTGCTTTGATCTCTTGGCTTTATGGCCTTCTGTAGCAGATGCTGGCTTCTTTCGGTTTTTGTTCTTGTTTTTCACATTGTGTGTTTCATAATAGCGCACACCCACTTTCTTATCCTTCTTCGCCCGTTCTATTGCTCTTTTCTGTTGAGACAAAAATATAAAGGGACAAATGAGACAAAAATGTAATATATAAGTCTTCGGGTTATCTGCGCACATTTTTGTTCAACATAATATCTATTTTCTATTTTCCTACCTGTTTTGATGTCAGTCTGGGGGCTTGAGCAGGCTCGTCATCATCTGCTTTCCTCTTCTTGTTATTTCGTTCTGTAATGAGATAATTACACATGCATACATATTATATTATACCACACAGCAATAAATCAGTATTTTGTATTTGTGTCAAATAAATATATATATAAAAAATCCACATGGTTCTTTCTCATTAATTGGTAAAACAAATGTTTCTCTATGTGGTGAAAGCACTTTTACATAAAAGAAAACATAAAAAAAGAAACATAGTTAATAAACTGAGAAAATAAAGGTTACAAAAATGTACAATGCTTTTGAAAAATAGTCAATAATGGGATATTTAACTTTCAATATGAAAGTACTATTCAGGTACTGGATACTAAAATAAAAAAAAAATAAAAAAAAGTTTTAGTTTTTTTTAACATAAAAAAAAAAAAATGTAATATGCTCTTGAAAACTATAATAATAATAATAATAATAATGATGATAATAGGACATTTGACCTGTAAATGAATATAAAATATAAATATAAAAGTACTATTCATGTAACAAAGTACTATAAAGTACCTCTTCTCTGTGCTTGCTTTGCTGCTTCGGCTGCTTCTTGTTTTTTCTTCATGTCCGCTAAAGCCTTGTCAGAGAGGGCCTTGGGTATCCTGTCCAGAAGAGACCACAGTCAAGGATAACCAAAGAAGGTAATCATTTTTATCCATTTGAAATCCCACAAAGAGTTATGATTCTATTAAGTTTGAACAAAATCATTACAAAGCAATTTTACTTTGTTTTGCTAAATGTGGTATGATATTCAGCATGAAGCCACTGATTAGAAAAGGCCATTTGTGGCTGTCCCAACGGGCTCAGGTTGTGACCACCTACAATGTTTGAACACATGAGACAGGTTAAACTACTAATTTCACAAAACACTGCAAACGTTACTATACTTAGAAAAAAGACAAGGTTTTAGTAGGAATGCACAGAACCAGCTTTTCCAGTTTCAATACCAATATCGATATTCAAGATTTAAATAGCTGCAGACTTTTTTTTGATTTTTGGTTAAGTTTATAGTTTTTGTTAAGTTTATAATTTTTCTTCCTGGTTGGATATGGGTAGCAGATATGACATAGGGCTTGCAATCCGTGTCATACCGTCGTTTCATTGTCGCTGCCGAAAACTGAGTGAGTGACCGACTATTTATCTACCTACTATATCTATATATCCTTGTGTGCAAATAGTCCCTGTATTTTGGTTGGAATTTTCAGTTGATGACATTCATTACCAGTTTTTTTCTTTTTTCTTACAACTTTCTACATTTTATATACAGACAGAACACATAAAATATATGAAGCAAGATATGTGGAATTATTATTATTTAGTAAAAACATATTACAACAAACCACATATTTATCAACAAGCAAAAGGATTAATTTGAGGATTTGATTATAAACTATAAAAACAATATTTAGTTATGTATATTTATTTATTATTTATTTTGAGTAATACATTTTTTTTCTTTGCTACATAATGCCATATATATTTCATATATTTGATGTCTTCTGTATGTATATAAAAGTAGTTAAAAAAAAAAAACACTGAATGAGATGTGTCCAAACTTTTGGCCTGTAGTGTAGATAGTAATATTCCATTTTAAAACTGCTTCTTCCTGTATTCTCATAACTTTTCCCACAAATTGCTACACAACTGATGTAAAACTATGCTAAATATTTACCACAGGTACTATCCCACGAAACCGAGTTGATTAGAAAACCATCAAAACATTAGCAAACTATGCACTGACCGGATTGCCGAGAAGCGCTTGGATTTGGCCCGGTCCAGGAATTGTTTGTATTTTGCAATTTTTTCGTCCAGCTCTCGGATGATCTCACGTGACCCCTTGTTGCTAGGCTCTGTGGTAGATGATTCCTCCACTTCTCCGTTGCTGGGTTTTGCCTTGTTGCCCTCTTCATCCTCTGCTTCCTCCTCACTCTCTTCCTCCTCTTCACCACACTCTGAGCCAGAGAAGTCGCCTATGTCCAGATCTGGCATCTCCACAGGAACCAGGTCCTCCTCGTTGAATTCAGGAGCAACGTTGATTTTACCGAAGTTTTGCCGTACGTTAGCTAGCATCTTTTGGACTTCTTCCTTCTTCTTTTGCTCCAGTTTAGCCAGTTCATCTGGTACAGCTTCTCCACTGTCCAATTGTTCCTCCTGCATGCTGGTCACTGTGTCTGGTGGCCCTTCAGTTGGTTTATTATCCTGAACCATTAAAAATAAATAAAGAAAATAAATGGTCAATAAATAAATATATTTATAAGAGCAGTGGAGCCAGATTAATTTAATTGCTGAGTTAGTATTTCAGTTTGTCTAGTTACTGATACTTTGCAGTGATATGATGCCGAAGGTGTTCTATATGTATCTCTATGGTAGAATGTTCAGCAGTTACCAGTGGAGACACAATGCACACATTAGCAAACACTGTCAAAAACATTTCTGAAGTTGTTACCTCATCAAAAACTTACCTGGAGTTGTTTTACAGATGTTGAGTAACACTTTACTATTAGTCTGTCTATCTCTCCAAAGCTCAAAATTCTCTGTTCCACCTTGTGATGTCATGAAGCAGTAGTTTTCAAGTTAACAGCTACCCTTCATCTTTCGTTTAGTAGAAACAGGAAATTCTAGAGCTGAAATTATCAAAATGATTCCAGTGAAAATGTATGGAGTTTAAAAACACAGAGGAGCACTTCCTGTATTGCCAAGGTAGAACAGAGTGTTTTCTATTAGAGAGAAGAACTCAGCCTAAATATACAGAGTTTGTGTGTGAAACATATGTGAATGAAACAAAACACAACTCCAGGTATGTTTTTGATCATATTTGTTGATCAATATCTGTAACATAGATGAGAATATAAGCTAATGTGGACCCTTCCAATTATTACCATTTAAAAATTCTCCAAAGGTTTTGATTGTCAATTGAAAATACCCAAGCATATCACTGACTATTAGAAATGACTGAATCTTGAACTGAAATAAAATTTGATTAACTGCATAGTGCTACTCCAGCCTCACTTTTAAAGCACTCACCTCCTCGTTTCCCTCTGGTCCAGGAGGTTTCACAAAAAATGGGATCCGTCCTCTCTGCCAATCATTGAGCACCATTTTGGACACCGTGCTGAGATCAGGCTCTCCGCCCTGAACGATAAAACATAATGGGGATGAATGCCTGGATATAACTCATCTTTATTCTGTTCAAGGTATCACACTGTATACTAGACTGATAAGGCTAACTAAAAGCTTAAAACTGAAATATGCTTTTAAGTACCTTTAATAGTTTTCCTGTACGTTGAGCCAATTTCTCCAGGAAGTCCTCTGCGGAGTTCCATGTGGGGATACGATAGGTCTTCTGGATGTATTCTGGCTTGGCTCGCTCTAATACTGCCCCAATGTGCTCCTCTGGGTTTTTAATCTTTTCCACCTGAACCTATATCATGAAACAGAAATATGCATACAATACAGTATAAGTAATATTAAGTTGGGTTCAATTTGGCTGTGGTTAATGGACTGCAGCAGCAATATTGTAACAAATCTCTATACAGAATATCAGATCATTAGTAAATAAATAAACAAAATAAACAAAGGTCAAAATTATCATTAAAGGTTATATATTATATAAAATTGACTCTTGTGAGGATTAAGCCATTTTAGAATGTTATGTTTTGTTTCATTCACACGTTTGAGTAACCTTTTATTAATAGTCATGTGATGTGATGTCATGAAGTAAGTAGTAGTTTTCAAGTTAATGGCTACCTTTTACTTTAAGTTTAGTAGAGGTTAGCAATTCCAGGGCTTTAAAAGATTCTAGTGAAGGTGCATGGAGTAAAAAAAAAAAAACACACAGTGGAGCAATTCCCGTATTTCCACATGACATCACAAGGTGGAACAGCGTTTTTTTTAATTTGAGAGAAGAACTCAGCATAAATATGCAGAGTTTGTGTGTTAAACATGTGTGAATGAAACAAAACACAACTCCAGGTATGTTTGTGATGAGGAAACAACATAACAGATCAGAAATTGTGTAATATGGGCCCAGAAATAGTGTAATATGGGCCTTTATAAAAAAATGATATGATAAATATCGTTGGTATAGCACATAAAACCTACCACTCCTTTGAGCACAATGTCTGTTTCACTGTCTTCTGAGGGATACACAACTCCAGGACAGTCGATGAGGAAGATCCGCCGCATCAGCGTAATGTACTGCCACACCTGAACACATAGAGAGGTGCACAATATTTTAACCCCAACGAAACCTTGGCCTGTCAGGATAATTACTATATCAGCTTATTGTAGAACATATGAAAGCTGTAAATGTTGAATAAATAACTTCTGTAACTCATTACAGATGCACAGTCAGTACTAAAGTGTTTCATTCTGCTGTTTATTTATTACAGCTCATGATTTCTGACAATACTGTACATTTAGAATAAAAATGTGTTTAAATGGTGCATTATGTAACTTTTCTGGTGGAGGGTCCATCACCTGCTTGTGTCTATGGATACGTAATTGCTCTGCCCAGAATGTTCCACAGTATGACAATTAACAGCTTTACCTTACATTTATTCAATAACAGGTGGTTTTATAGCTCAAAAATACTTAGAAAAATACGCATTCTGACTGTGAGCGGGGTTCCCTCTCCACAGATCTGACCTGTAATTTGGTCTGATTAGGTCTCTTTGAAGATAGAAAGGTTTAATACCATACTGTGAAACATTCCAGACAAAGCAGTAACATCTCCATGGAGACAAGCCTTTGGAGGATCATCCACCAGAAAAGTTATACTATGCACCTTTAAATCTGCTCTAAAATCTGCTCTTGGGTTATTGAGTCAGTGGCATAAATTAGTTTCAATATTAGGTTTATTGTCTATATTTACTTAAGCAATATATTGTGCTTCAAATTTGTTATCGATATGGAACTAGCTTTTACAGGAATGTTTTAGCACAGGGGTCTCCAACCTGCAGCTCAAGAGCTACCAGTAGCTCTCCAGCCCCCCAAGTAGCTCGCCAAAGTATTTCTGAATTATACTTATTGTGCTGAATAACTCAATTTGAGTAATTAAATGCCTATTATCATTGTGAATGTATAATTTTGGTGCCTAACTTTGTGCACTAATAATTGGATAAAGGTTTATGTTTTATAGGCATCTAACTACCTCACTGAAAGCTTGTTGCGGCTCTTCTATACATTCAATTTCTTGTGACTACTAACATTAGTACCTCTGAGGCATTTTCATTTTGTAAAGGTAGATCATCATATGAAAAAGGTTGGTAGCCCATTTCGGATTATTTGCAAAATCATCTAATTATCATTATCAAGCCTAATTTAAAATGTATAGATATATAGCCAGTGGAATGTAGGTTTAGTTTGGTACAAAAAGGCCATATATAGACGTTGAGGAAAAATGCAAGAACTTCAGAATGAAAGCAATTTACTTAGAGCAGTTATAACAATTTAAAGATCTAATCAGTAACCATTTGCAAAGACTTGGCAAGGTTATTATTTAATTCCTGGTATCCATTAATATTTATTTGTAGTAGTTTATTTATTTGTTTATTTACTTGCAGTAGTTTGAGATGAAAATACTGTTCATCTGCTATGTGTGAAGCAATTCAATTATAAGCTATTAAAATGCCTTGCACAGTAACGTAAATATCTACATTTTTATCAGTTCTTGCTCTTTGTGTGCCCTTTCTGCCTTATTTGAGTCATAAGGTTTAGCGGCAGTTTCCTCCAGACAAACAAAAACAAAGCAGCAGAAGACAGTAGCTTTATTTGACTTTGTGTTCTAAACCCATTTTGCTGACTATCAAAGATGAAGTGGAAAGAGGAGGAGGGCTGGACAATGGCCCATCAGATTCTTCTGCTCGGTCCAGATTCACAGCTTTGGAAAGAACACTGGAGTAGTTCAGACGGTTACTGATTTTGCCCTTATGACCTCTCTCTGGTAGTGGGGGAAGTACTCAATTTTGTTACTTGAAGGTGCACTGAGTAACTTTTGGTTGGAGGTCCATCACCTGCTTGTTTCTATGTATGCATCATTGCTCTGACTGGAATGTTCCACAGTATGACATTAAACAGCTCTACTTTCCATTTATTCAATTACAGGTGATTTTATAGCTCAAAAATACCCCCCCCAAAAAAAAGAGGCATTCTGACTGTGAGGGGATTGCCTCTCCATAGATCTGACCTGTAACCCGGTCTGGTCTGGTCTCATGAAGATAGAAAGGTACTATGAAACATTCCAGACAAAGTAATAACATCTTCATGGAGATCGGCATTTGACAGACACTCCACCAAAAGAGTTACACAATGCACCATTAAGTAAAAGTACAGATACATGGGCATAAGATTATTCAAGTAAACGTATCATGAAGGACCTGCTTAAAAATTTACTTTAAGAATAAATAAGTATTTTGCAAAGATTTTTAGAACAATTAAAACATCAGACGTAGTGGTTGTAAGTTATCTAATGGATTTCTTCATTTTCCTAGCTGTTTGTGTATATTTGGGTATTTGTTTTGCTCAAAGTTAGGACGCTAAAAACAAACCAAAGTTGAACCCATCTGTAAACATTGTACTTTGTGTGTATGTGAATGTGTCTGAATGTGGGAAAGTCTGAATTGCGAAATTGCACTATTGTATGAATGTGTTTTAGAGATTGTGGTTTTAAATGATTTTGAGCCGTTTTTTGTAGGGAAAGGCCCAACCTATGACGGGAGTTCAGAATTAGCACTAAGATAGCAATTAGATTTTTAAATATGTTTTTAAATCTCTTTATGAGCTGGCACCGTATTTGTGTGAATTGCTAACTTTGCACAAACTAGGGAAAATGTTCATTGGACCAGCTGCTTTTAGACTGCCCAAAGACCAGACACAAAAGTAAAAGAGATAGAGCTGTTGCTCTAGCAGACCCTAAACTGTGGAACACACTCCTGTTACATATCAGAGTCACTACATCACTGGAGTTTTAAATTGCTGCTGAAAACACACTTTTTAACACTGGCTTTTAACTCAGGTTGATTTTCTATAGTTGTATTTGTTACTAACCTGGTTTTATTGTGTTTACTTGTGTTTTACTCATGTTTATTCTCATATTCCATTTTTATCCATATTGTTGAGCACTTTGGGGTAGTACCATCTGTTTTTAAATGTGCTATATAAATTAACTTTGACCATGACCTTATAGACTCTATTCATTACATCAGCTGCATGTTCTGCCTGTGACTATGTGTGACTACACTGTCCCTGTCAAATAAGTCAAATAAATAAAATTAAATGAAATACAAATGCATTCAGGCTGGGAGCTTTACCTTGGTCTCTCCTGCCAGGGGGGCCACGTTGCAGACCTTCTTTGACCTCAGTGTGTTGATGACTGAGCTCTTTCCCACATTGGGGTATCCAATGAAACCTACACTTATCTGTTTCTTGTCTGTGTGGAGCTGTGGGAGGCAAAGAACAAACAATCTTGAGCTTGTCATCAGTTCACGCAAGGCACAATTACACATAATGCAATCGGAAAATCTGATTTAGCAGGAAATGCACATCATATTTTAAACAACAATAAAAGTAAAGTTTGTAACATAACATCTAGTTTCTACTATCCAAATTCTCTCATCATGTTCCAAAATGTTGAAAATATTACTGCCCTGCTGATAACATCAAATAGGATTTCTCTTGGGTTTTGTTTGAAATGACAATGCAGAAATATTGCCAGATAGGCCTGGATTACCTTTCCGAACTGCCTGAGCAACTGGATGAGTGAGCCTTTACCAAAAGAGTTCGTGAGACTGGCATGGAAAGCCAAAGTGGGATATTCCTGCGACAAGACAGCTACCCATCGTTTCTACAAAATTCAAAAAGAATTTTTATTATAAAAGATGCACTGTGTGTTTTTATTGGGGGTTCGTTACCTGCTTGTTTCTATGGATATGTCATTGCTCTGCCTGGAATGTTCCACAGTATAGCATTAAACAGCTCTATCTTACAGTTATTCAATTATAAGTGGTTTTATAGCTCAAAATTGCATTGCAAAGAAAAACTTGGCATTCAGGTGAGGGGGAGGTGCCTCGCCACAGATCTGACCTGTAACTTGGTTTGGTTTGGTCTCCGTGAAGATAGAAAGGTTTAATATGATACTGTAAAACATTCCAGACGAAGTAATAACATCTCCATGGAGACAAGCATTTGACAGACCCTCCACCAAAATAGTTATACAATGCACCTTTATAGATTATGTTTCATCTGTAAAAAAAAATAAATAAATGTTGAGCTGTGGTGTTTTACCGTAACCCAGGTGGGTATGAGGTCACATTTATTAAGCACAAAAATGAGATGTTTCCAGGGTTTCTCTTTCTTCAGATAAGTCTCTATACTTTTGGAACGAGTTCCCATGGGGTCACGAGCATCCAGGACTTGGATAATGACATCAGATGAGTCAATAACCTAAAAAGAATACAGAGAACCATAGAACTTTACTGTGTTCCAACCTTTAGTGGTCACAGTTGTATGCCATGTTTATTATTTCTGCAACTTTGTGTTTCCAATAAAGAGACCTTGGCAATACAGCATAATGTAATTGTCCCACCACAGTTTCAAAATGAATCAAAAATAGATTATAAAGTTGGAACATGTTTTTTGGTAAATTGTTTTCATATGTCTACTGACATGACCTGGGCCTGTGTTTATTTCACAAGTTTCTTTACAAAGGATGCATCAGTCCAATCCACTGGAACATGTCAGTCACCGGTGCAAATGCTGTACAAACCTGTGGAAGGGGGAACTTATCATACAAATATCTAAATGCAAATATCTGAGGCTTAGCAGCAATGGTGGTGAGGAATACAATTCACAGCCAACAAAGACATTGATTTTATAGGTCACTTTGCAGCAGGGAATCTTGTATTTTGACTGTAGACTATATAAATGCACATAGCTAACCCAGTAGCTGTCATGTCACAAATAGGAAGTTTTCATAGGGGTGCATCTGGATCCATCAATTCTGTTTCCAATTCACTTTACATTTAGAAATTGTCGCTCCTTTCTCTGTAACTGCTGCAGTGAGTCTCGTCATTTTGGTCTTGAAATGTTCCTATTAACCCGCTCTACATTAGGTGGATGCGGTGAACCTGGTGTTTTTATTTCACTATTTTGTACATAAATAAATTCCTATGCCTAATACGCACCAGGCTCCAAATTCACTCCTATAACTGTTAGCATCGTGAGCTTCATTTGACTGGAGCTGAATGCTATGGGTGACGTCATACTCACTTTGTCCACTTCTTTTTACAGTCTATGGTAGACCCACTGTCTGGTCAAGGTTTAAATCTGATTATTAACTTCTGGTAGGTTTGTGTGGAATGGCAAATGTTTCAATGACTATGGATTTTATTCAGTTCCCATTAGTGTGTGTGTCAGTGTTTTGTCAAATAAATACCTTGTAGAGTTCTCCCCAGATTCTTTTGGACTGTCCTTTCTTGAATATTTCTTCTCGTGCTTCATTCCTGTAACAACATTTGCACTGTCTTAAACCCTTACAGTGCCATAGCCTTTACTTCTGGTGTGGGACCTACCGGACCCCAGAGTCCTCTGTGACCAGGTCTTTGTCATTGTCTGCATTGTAGCTCAGAACTGAAGCTTCTGCCTGCTCCACTAGGTTCTTCATATCATCAACCATCAGGTTCGGCTTCTTCCTCTGAGCTTTGGGTCCAAATGTGGTCTCAAAACCTTCTGTGTCCAAAATATGCACCCTGGAATTCTGGAACAAACAATTGTGCAGTTCATGTAGGTGTTGGAAATTACTTATTGGTATCAGATACTTAAATAAGAAATGCCACTGAAATAATGACATACAGAAATCTGTTGTTTCAAATACTACTAACCACTTGAAAACTTTGGACAACCATAACACCTCTGTCTATTGCCACTGCTTCAAGACTGAAACTGAATCCTTTTTCAGGTTGCCTATAGCCTACTAAAACAAGCTTATATGGCACCTTTTAAATAGTTTTGTCTCCAAAAATTATATATTAAATAGATATCATATCATCCAGTTTAATTCAATTTTTAAATCAAACATTTTCACATGCAGCTCACTCACATGAGCTTTGACGCGGTCATGTAAGAGGGACATGGGCAGTTTGCTCTGTCTCATCACCACACGATATGGGTCTTTCTGGATCGCTCCCATCTCGTCTTGAAACTTCTGTAGTGAGGACTGTTTTATTACTCGTGTATTTGCTGAGATAAAAACATTAACAAGGTTTTAATGACAAAAAAATTTGAAATACAATATATGATGCATAGTGAAGGCTTTATTTATGTAGAATTATTTTTAAACTCACCAAACCACTTGATGTTGGGTTCAACTCTGGCAACAGTTCCTGGGGCTACTGTGGATTGGTACTGCAAAGGCTTGATAACTTTTCCATGTTTATCACTGCAAGAGTATTACAATGCAACAATGACTAGAGGCACCTTTAGGAATAAGGAATAATTTATAGACCTTTTAAAATACTAGGTCATCAGAAGACAGCATGAAGATACTATGATACTATGAAGACTATGACTTTCAATTACTAACTTTCACCTAGCCTTCATAGCCAGAATTCAAGCAGGGTAGAAATGTCACATTGCAACAGGGTTGTTAAAAGTATTGAAAATCAGATATTAACTCTAGATAATCATTTGAGCTGGTATTGACACAAAAAAGTCACATTCACAGGACAGAAATTAAGCTTTCCTGAATAGCTGTAGAATTATCTTGAGATGTATCTGAACAAGTATAAGAGCAAAGAGAATAGTATCCGCTTCTGGACCACTATGGAACCTACCTGCACAACTGAGGGATTACACTAGGGGTGTCAAACATAAGGCATGGGGGCTGGATCTAGCCCTTTAATTTGGCCCTCGGCTGATTTTCTACTAAAATATTGTAATTATATGTTCTATTAAAATATTGGTAATTTTCTGCGCCTCTTAGCATAGCAGTGTCTCCAGCGCCTCTGTGCGTGGACGCCTCCCACCAGAGCAGCACAAATGAAGACTTGCCTCTTTCCAGATGCTCTTAAAAGATGATCATTTTGACTGTTGACCGTGACACCCTGTCATCATGTCAAAAATGAGAAAAGTGGACGCAGAATGCATAATTATCCAAGAAAAATTGACTTATTCCTATTTGCATACAAGTTAATGATAAAACATTGTGTTGAAATAGCATTTTTCTTTAAGTTTCAGGTTGTTCATAATATAATATTTTGTAAAAGAAAGTTCATCAATTAAAAAAGATTTCTGTAATAGATTTGCGTTTCTCTGCACAAATATGTGAATTTATTGCTATTTTTGGGGTATATATGCCATGAGTTTTCCACCACTGGATTACACAGATAGAAGACCACATGTTAATGTAAAACAAAGTACTATGATTTTATGTTGAAAATCATATTTTATTGTCTAAATAAAGTGTTTTTAATTATCATTGTGGTATCAATCAGTATTTTGTATTAAGTTTATTCCATAATATCAAGTTTGAAAACACTGTAGGTTCAACATTTCTTTTTGTATTTGTCCAGTAGAACCTCATACCTCATTATTTTGCCTTCGACAAAAATCCTAAGAGTGCATAATTATCTCCCATTAAATAAACAAATAATGCAAAAAACAACTGTAAATGTCATAAAACTGGGCTCTGCTAATCACATGTGTCATCACAAATTATTTTTTTGTTTTTAGAGATATTCTGAAGCTAATGCCAATTTCCCCATTGAAATTACAATCACCTTTGTCTTAGATTGTATTCAATACGGTGTGTTGTTTACAAATTGTTAAAGGATCTACTGCCGCAGACTGTATAATGTCTACTACACAACACATGTATGATTTACCATCTCTGCTTCTGTCTGTACATGTTCAGACGCTTGATAGTGGCTCTGTCCCTCATATTGTTCCCTCCAGCCCCTTTCACCCGGTCTGTAAATAAAGAAAGTAAGAAAATATTTTAGTACAAATGATTAGTTTTATGACATGGAAGAGATCTTGTTGTCAGTTATCATAGTTGGTTTAACAAAGTACGTTTTAGAAGCTTTAAACAATTGCCATCACATCAGTTGTCTGTATGCAGCGATCTAAATCGCTACTGATGTTTGTAATAATGTAGTCCTTGAACAGACATTTAACAGCAGCTGTAAACAAACTGCAATGCTAAAGCTACAGCTAGCTCACCGGGGTTGCTGCTGGACGTGGAGGGGTTTATCGAGCTCTTCCCCTTGTACTTTGGCTTCACCATGTTTGCTGTGGTGCCGGGACAGTCCAAGAAGATATTAAACTAAACGTACAAGGCAGATTATGTTAAAGGTAGAGTTTAGTTGATGTAATTTCCTTCTGGTCCGAACTACGCCTCACACGTGTATCTCAGGGAGGCAAGAATTACGTCATCAACTCCGCGACACAAGAACCAGTGAACCAATCAGGAGCCGATCCGACTTTTTTGGTTAGATCCACGAGCACGCGAATTCACAGATCAATTAGTACAAATAAGTAATACAATATTTGACGAAGTATCATATTAATACTGGTATTACAATTGCAATCATAATTGGTACTGTAAACAGATTTATTTTTTCAAACCTACAGTATTCATTAGTTCCAAGAGAGGGCGTAACTAACGCTGCCTGTACTTGAAATGTACAAGACAAATCTCCATGAAATGACATAATATAATTGAAGCTATTATAAAGGCCATATGTTGGCTCAGAATGTACTCTTTCTGTCTGTGGCGCACTGCAAAGGTAAACGGGGACAGACTAGACTCAGGTCTGGAGAGGCGCCACACACTGCTGAGTTTATACACACAGACCCAGGAATGTTCTCTGTGCAGCTTCATACAGGAGGAAACTGGAACACAACATCTGCATTACACTCCAATAAATGATTTCTGAAAGTCAAATAGACTTTATTAAATGCTCTTTACCAAACCAAAGCAAAAGCACAGCCCACTGCAGCATGCTGAATGCTTTTTGGAAGTTTATTGTAGTCTACTTTTACTTAATCTGAACATGAATTGAATCTTGTGCCAGGAACACTTCATAATTGATAAATGAAAATCAAAAGTAACAATCCTCAACTGGAAGTCATTTAATTTAATTTTTAAAAATTTTATTATTTTTTTTGGGACCATACTTATCTGGTGTGAGCCCAGTACGGCCCTCCTTCTGTCACCACTTTGTCCACTACATCCCATCTACATCCACTGCACTCTCCATGACCTCCTTTCACAAAGCGCACTGAGACACCGCTACCACAACCAAATGATCTGATTTCTCATCATTCGTATCGTATGCAACAACAAGCCAGGCTGCACATCTCTGTCAGCCCTCACACACAGACCACAGCAGATGATGGATTGTCTCTGGCGAAAAAAAAAAAGAAAAACTCAGGCGGCATTTTTATACTTTGCAAACTCACGACACAGTCATAAACCAAAGACAAGCAAAAGAAAAAACATCACATATTTTAACATTATATCCCATTTATATGTCAGTCAAATTTATTTCAGTTTCACAGCAAGTCTTTTCTCATGCACACTGGAAAACGACAAAAAAGGAAATCAAAATTTTACAAGAAAATGAATTGCAGTTTTAAGAGCGACTGAAGACACCATTCTGTTATTCATAGAGTTTATAAAGGCATATAAAATGGGAAAAAGCTGAGGACAGTGGAGCACAATGTTCTTTGGCCTCCCATCAAGGCACTGGAGTGAAAACTGTGGACAGATGATGTGAAAACCTCTTTCTTTGCATCAGCACTTTGTTCTACAATGTGGGGCGGGTTGTACCAATTGTAAAACAAATTTTTAAAAATAAAATAAAAACAAGTAAAGTCACTGTGAATAAAATCAATGTAACTGATTAAGTTTCCATGATATAAGCAATAATCTAAGCACAAACTCACAAACAATTACGTAACTGTTGACCATTTTGAGCATTGCGGTTTTGAATTTTGTTGTTGTTGTTATTGTTGTACTAAATACTGATACGAATACTGATGTTTTAATGCTTTAAAATTCTTAATTTCAACTCAAAAAAAATAAAAATAAAAATCATTACAAGTTGGACAAAGAGAGGTACTTTTAAATTAGCTTTAGCATTTCACACACTATATAGATTATAGTCCCAAAAAATATTTTAAGGTTGCTATTAACTATTTTGGCATTAAAACTATCCATTCAAAAGAAAGTAAAAACCCAGTTACCCAGTTTGTGCCTCCGGCTAAGACATCATACCAACTCACCCACAAGACATGAGCTACATGGCTCCTTTTTATGTGGCAGAACAGCAACTCTACTGCAAGACCTTCCTTATTGTAATCTTTTGTACCTGAGATCCTGCCCCTTCAGAGTGTGTCAGAGGGGTTCAGAGCAGTGCACAGTTGTCTTTGATATGATGCCACTGCGCACATTTTTAAATTTCACTAAAAAGAAAAGAAACCTGCACTGATTTAAGATGATTGATGCTCAAACTTCAAAACATCAAAATCACTATCATTTAACTTTGACAAGCCACAGAATAGGTCATGTGAACAAAGTGTCAAGAGATTTTTACAGAAAGTCCATTTATAAAGACAATGCTGGCCCTAGGAAAGATTTCTGACAGCACTCCTGACACCACTCACAGTGATAAATAGTCAAAAAATTTAATACTTGATTTTGCAATTGGCAAATTTAAAGCAGGGGGTTTGGAGTCCACCCAGGAACTTTTGGAACAAAACCGAAGTAATTTCTTGTAATCTGGGGTAAATTAGATCAGCTAAATTTTTACAAAAACTGCTGTCTATTAGTTATACATTATGGTTATAAGCTGCTTCTCTCCAAGATTCAAAGGAGGAATTAGCTATTAACCTGTATTTTACACTTGGTGCATGTCACTTGTGTCCAAATCATATGTCAGTGGTTCCCCTCCAAATATTGATTGATTCCAACATGGCCACAGTCAACTTGTCCTCCTCGTGGAATAGAACATGAACAGACACTTAAATTGTCTGAGAGGTATTCGCCAAAAACTCAATCTAGAATCTAAAAAGCCTCTGTAACTTATCATACCACTAATGTGAAAAGTGCTGCCTCATGACTTGTGGAACATATTACAATCCCTCATTTAAAGGTGAATATTTGTGGATAATATTTCAGTCTGGCTTACTCGAAGTGTCTCCGTTTTGAGTATTTGAGAATTGGTGACAGCCTTTGACACACTGCAGCCACACATTAACATACTAAAGGCACATTTCCTTCTTTTATGGTGGGGAGGAGGCAAGTTCGGTTTTGATTGTCCTTTAGTTTCTCCAGTGTATAAGAGTTGAATTTTGTGTAGGTTTGGTTATCATGATGCACCCAAATCACTGGGGCATGAAACAAGTGCCTGATCTGAGCAAACCTGTGTCTTTTGAGGGATGAGTACTGGAGTGATGCACGCTTGACTTATATTGAACTTGTGGAGAGAACCAAATATTCCTTCACTGGATATATAGAAGGAGATAACGATAAACCGTGTTGAGTGTGATAACACGTTGAGAAGGGTAAATGAGAGGGAGAAGGTTGTATTCTCATATGTCACCAATAAATGCTATACTGCTGTCTCACAGCATGCCTGCTTTGGGGAGCACAGGTGAGCCTGAACAAAGGGGAGGAGAGAGAAAATAGACTGCATAAAGAAGTGGACTGAGGGAAGGTGACATCACCTGTAGCATTAGGCTCTAATCAAATGAAGTTAATCGAGGCTAGCAATTATATGGATGAATTTGGAGCCAAGTTGCATGATTAAAATTCTGACTGAGAGTATCATAGCAACTAAACAACCAATCCGCAGAAAGGCTATTGAAAATAACAGCCCTTCCCAACCACAGAGCTGGTCAGTTTCTTAGCAACAAATCAAATCTATAGCTAATGCTAGAGGGAAAGAAGGCATTGCATTTATCTGTTAATAACCTTTTTATGGTTTAAATGGCAAAATAAAACACCAGGATCATGTAGAGCAGGTTAATGCAAAAATTTAAAGACCAAAATGACGAGTCTGACAGCAGCAGTTACAGAGAGAGGGGTGACAGTTCTTCAATAGAAAGTCGGAGCCAGAAGCACACTCATGCTCACTTCCTATTTGGAACACAACAGCTAGCTGGTTACCTATGTCCATTTAGCCCTATATACACAGTCTATGGAAGAGCAGGGTTCACATATGCCATCTACTGGTAAAAACAACCAAATAAACAGATGGGTGCAATCAATCAAATTTTACACATGATAGCTTTAAAAACATATACTAGAAACAGTAGCTTTTTAAATTAATGGTATATTACCAGTTGTGTCTTGAAATAGATAGTGGCAGCCTTAATGAGGTTAGAAGGAATAACTTTGACAAACTACAATACTACAATAAAAAATAAAAATGACCTGGATACAAAGCTCAAAAACATAACACATGCTGTACAAACACTATAAATAGAATAACAATACACCAACATACAAATATGTGTATATACAAGTAAAATAAGTACTTCAGAAATATGGACCTCAGAACTCAGAAACCTACCTGTTAGATCCAAATAGTGGTCCAAACATCTCGACAATGTTTTTCTTGAGGAGATCAATTAAGTCACTTTTAATCGGTAACCGTGACAGTTTATTTAGCCCCTAGTGGAACACATATGTCACTTTCAGGAGGTATTAGTTAGATATCATCGAGCAAAAAGGCTTTACTGTGACTTTGGAGCTCCATAAATCAGATATTAAATAGAAAATTGATGAGGCAGCTGGTGCAGCTGGGGATGAAGTCATGGTATTGTTATTTTTTGTATAAATATGAATGAAGTGTTTGCGTCATTTCCTCTTTTTTAACAAAACTCCAGCGCCTCTCCGTTGCAGCATTGCTGCGGTTACGCTCCTAGCACCATATTAATCATTGTATAATCTGCTGGAAAGTGCTGGAGGGAGATGCCGCTAATGAATGATGTTTATGAGTGCTAATCTTTGGCATGTAAACCACCATTTTGCCCTTAGATAAGCTGAGATATTGACTCTTTTTTCTTTTTTCAGCACACCATTAGCTAAGTGACATCACCGCTGTTGGATCTAATGAGTTGTTGCAGTTTTATATATCGGCTCCTAAATTATGGATAATTACTTCCATCCAACTTCCTAAAGTTGTAGTGACTCAAACTGAGGAGAGCGTTTTATGGGGTCGGGGTATAAGAAGAAGTGAACATTTGATTCTCACTTTTATTATTTTATTTGAATTTGGAAAATCTTTATTATTTTGTTTCAATGAAATTCTCAAACGTCCTGTATTGCTCAAAATTGACTCTTGTAACTTTTTGCCATTTTAGAATTATCAAAAACATACCTGGAGTTGTGTTTTGTTTCATACACATGTATGAGT